CGATCAGTGTCTCACATTTTAAAGGACAGTTTTCAAAGAGAGGTTTTTCAGATGTAACAAGCTAAATATACATTTAACAGTAACAAAGCCTTCAGAGGGTTTTAGAGTTCTCTGCTCCGTTTTTCATCTTCTACTACTCTTCATTACCTAACAGTAATCCTTGAGCAAGGATATTTGGATGGCCACCTTCACTGACATATTGCTAGATATTCTTGCAGTGACGGATGACAAATAGGGGCGAGAGAGAACTGCAAACCAAAAAGAATGGGGGATTGAGGGGAGAGGGGGTGTCCCTCTGACTTTAGAACAAAATTCAAAATGGAGAAATATGGCCCTTATTTAGTTACGTAAAAGATTTTGCTTTACAGCGATTTGAGATCTAGAATCTTGCTAAGCTACTTTCTCCCTTACACTCTCAGCATAAAAATAATAAAGAAAAAATAGAACCTGAGAAATCTGGAAAATGCCATCCTAAAGATATCGCAGGCTGGACTGCTGGGCCCTCTGTTTTCTCATTAGCATGGAAAGAAGCGGAAGCTTCTTGAAAGCAGCGTATTCAACACCACATCCCTGAATTCCTACAAATGGCTTCCGTTTCAGTATCTAAATCCCAAACCTCTCTTAAAACTCTGGAGTGACCAGACACACAGAGGGAGAGGCGGCACTCTGCCAGCCCAACCCTGTCCAAGGCACCTGGGAGGATGCTGCCCTCCTCCAGCATGAGCCAGAGACAGCCCCCGTGGAGACCCCGAGGAGCCCCAGCAGTCCTCCTCAACCGGGAGAACAAGGACTGAAACAAGCCAGGCAAAGCGTTTCCCAGGAGAGAAAAAAAGAATGCCAGCACACGCAAAACCCGATGCTTTCTGGTATTTGGAATATTTTTAGAGTCTAGAAATTACAAAACTGTTTTTCATAATGCTGACTTTAGACTCACCTTAACCAATCACCCAGATTTTTAAAGGAAGACTTTTTTTTTTTTAAAAAGGAAGCATTCCTAAAAGCAGCCATTGTATCACCGTTGTCCAAAAGCCCTTTAATAATTCTTAGCCTGATGCCTTGTGTTTTATTGTACAGTTCCAAGTCACCAGAAATAACTTTTCAATCCAGCCAAAGCATGCAATGCTGCACAGCCAAGAGTTTTGGTTTTTTTGAGGAAGAAAGGGCTGGGGGATTGAGAAGCCTTATAGACAGCTTTGTATTATATTAAATCTACAACAACTTAGAAATCTGAAATGAAAGAGGCCCAAAATACCAACAGCTCTGAGCTTCATATGAATTTAAACATGCCTTTTTTTTTAGCACAAGCTCACATGACTTGTTAAATAATTTACTCTATAAATTACTTATCCTGTCTTATTTATTAACAATTCTAGAGTGCTTTATATAACTGCATTAGATATTTATTTTGTGGTTTTGAAATGTACGCAATACACAATCACCTCTCTTTTAATAGGCAAGAGCTTAAAAGTCACCTACTGTTTTGTTGGCAAGCAGTTCTTCCTGAAATACACCAATTAATTTCAAACCCCATTCACCTGAATAATCGTAAGTCAACATATTAATGACTTGATACCAGAACTGTGAAACTAGGCCAGGCATATGCTTGTACCGCAAGAAGACACTTTGAAATCAAAGTCTTTTAAGAGTCATATACACTGAGCTATACTAACAATACATTTCACTTCATGAGAAAATATTAGACCAGTCCTTTTACAAAAAGCCCTGAATACTTTAAAAATTACTCATTTACTATCCTATTAATATTTTTGCTCCAGTGACCTCGCCAACAACAACTTATTTGCTATTGTACCTACAATGCATGGGTTGAACAATACCTATATGCCCATTTTACTCCCACCATTCTTGGTCCTTGGCTCTGAATGTGAGCTTCAGGGACCGAGAACGTTATTTTAATGCAAGACCTCACTCCGGAGTTCAGTTTATCTCTAAGAATATCAAAACTACCAAACAATTATTACGATTAAGCCCTGTTATAATAAGCAATTTCAGCACTGGCACATGCTTTCCAGATAAAGAACAGCCCACATCAGCACCCCAGCCAATTGGACAAATCCAAAATCTGGTTAGAGACAAAGAATTTTCAAAATCTGTCTTTATCCACCTGAATAGAAAATGATGCAAAAACAACTAGGAAGGGAAGAGTGAGGAAGATGACTAAGAAAAGCAGCAGGCATAAATACCCTTATGCCCTCCCACACCAAATTTCAGCAGCGAGCCCTCGCAGGGCTGATGGAGAAGCGCTCTGGGTGTCTTTCTGCCGCTCTCAGTAGATTTGGATGGAGCATCCAGCCAGGAATCAAGAAATAGCTGTGCTGGGAGGAGAGGATTTATTAAGCTCTGTGCTGCAGTTCACCTACAGGCCGAAAGAGATGTGAAGCACCTGGCTATCAAGTGGTGGAGGCTGCCTGACGCGTGGGACCGCAGCTCCTGCTATTCCTACCAGCACCAACCACCCCAGCATTCTCTCCCACCTCTCGGCCCCAAGGGGAAACTGCCTGCTCGTGTCCTTCCACCCCGGTTGCCATCCCCCTGGCCTGTGGCCAACCCTCTGCACCACCACGGGTGCCACACGTCCACCCCTAGCCGTGCTCTCACCCCCAGCACACACGGCCCAGGTCAGGATCTTGACCCAGCCCTCACGCCATGGGCACCTATAGGCACTTTTGCCTAGGACTGAGGGACCCACTCCCCTCAGGAGCTGGAGATACTCAGCAAACGAAGGACTGGTTTCCACAGACGCTCAGGAAACATATGGGAATAAAGTGTTAGAAATTAATTGTCTTGTGCTCGTCTCACTCTTATTTATACCGGGAATGATCCCACCGGAGACCGATGGAATTATGCTCCTGTATCTATAAAATAAAAATCAGCCATCAAGCTTCCTGAGTAAGATGTGATGCCCAGCCTCTCAAACCTGTTCCACAGCTAGAATAAAGCAAGATGTGCAGTGTTAAAAATGTCTCCACAGTCTGTAACTGCCATATTAGAACCGCTTTTACATATCTACTGTTTACTGAGCTCCCACAATGAAATATGAAATAACGTGACAGCTACTGCAGTCCAATTTTTAATTTATGCCTATAAACTAATTAAAGGGCCTCTGTGTTTTATGTTAAAAGTACGCATGAAAAGACCGTCTTAAATACGTGCAACAGCATCTCCTGAGAAATCTATGACTCAAAATTATTTTTAGATCACCAAACACAACAACATGCAATGTCACAGAATGATACAGTAAAAACTGAAAAGAACTGTAAATCCAGGGATGATCAAAAAACCACAGGAAAACGAAAAGCAAAAGCATCAATGCAAAATGACTAGACGTGTTTAAGTTGATCATGGCTGGAATACATATTTACATATATATTTTCTCCTCTGGCCTTTCAAATTCTAGGGGGAAATTGCACTGTTACCTCCAAATTTAAAGTACTGGATAATAAGGCTAGGAAAGCCTCTGAAAATGAGCAGAGATGCATAGCTCAAAGCAATTTCTTTCTTTTTTTTTTTTTTTTTTTTTTTTTTTTTTTTTTAATGAAGCAATCCACAGAATATTAAACAAACATTTGAAACAATAACTGCTGTAACAACTCAGAAAGACCGTTTCCTTACCATAGGTCCTAAAAACCTACCAAAGGTCTATGAATAGCAGAAATTAACGTCTCCCAATTTTTTACCCAAACACATGCGGGGAAATGCAGCAAATTGACTTCAGCAAACTGCAGAAAGGTAGCCCAAGGGCTAGAATTTATTCTAAAATCACACGGTATTTCACAGTACTTTTATACTGTTTCTAAAAGAAACTGAGAAAGAGAAGAAGGATGGAGAACGCAAACAGTGAGAAATCTGTATAGATTCTGGGGAAAACAGTATCTTTTACATCAAAAATGCAACGGGAAACAATCCAGAAACAACGGGGACTGGGAGATATGGAGATGGACAAAACAGCTTTAGAAGGTTGGGGTTTTTTTGCCCAGATCTATCATCTACAAGTCCAGTATCCAAAATTTTTTGCTCAGCAAGAGCCTTTGTAGCTTCTCTCAGGCAACGTATGCGGCCGCCACAGAGCACAGAGCCGTGGAACGATGCAGGATTGAACACCCAGAGCTACAGAACTCCTCCACCGAAGGCACCGTCTGCAGGCAAACCAGGATGGAAGCAACCCAAGGGCAAGAGGGAAAGAAAAAAAAAAAAAACCGAAAAAACTTTTTGCACCTTCCTCCCTATTAATGACGGTTTCCTAATACTGCAGCACTTTCCGAGAGGCAGCACAAGGCTCATCCTCTGCAGACTCTGTATTTTCTCCTTCCAGCCACCTTACTGAGAAGGGCAAAGCAGGCTCGCATGCCTATGGACCAGGGCAGGGAAGGCAGTTTGCGGTCCCTTCCACCAAAATCTGCCGCATCCCCTCTTTTTTTTTTTTTTTTTTTTTTCCCCCTCCTTTTTTTTTTTTTTTTTTTTTTTTTTTTTTTTTTTGTTGGTTTTTTTTTGTTTTTAATAGAAAAAGAGTACAGGAGAGACCTGGGCGGTATAGCCCCCTACCAAAACTCACGGTTTGCGGGAATAAACTGAGGCAGGGAAAGTAAAAAAAAAAAAAAAACAAAACCCAAAACATAATAAACCCCACCAGCAGCCCTTCGCCGCCGCCGCAGCGGTGGGAACGGGGGGTTCTGTGCGGTGCGCGGCCACCGGCAGCGGCGGGAGCCGGGGGCGGTTCCGCAAGGGCTCGCGCCCGCTCCCCGGGAACCGCACCGCGGGGCAATTAGGATTCATCATCCAAATGGGCTCGCGGCGGGCATCTCTGGGAAGTCGCCGCCAAATTAAATCACCGCCGGGCTCTCAGGCTCCCAGCCGCCCGCCCGCCCGCCAAGCGCCCTCCGCCCGCCGGGCGAGACCTCCCCCCCCAAAACACACACACACACACACACACACTCCCGCAGCCCTCTCCGTCCCCGTCCCGCCGCCTCCGGGGCCGTACTCACATCTCGGTGACATTGTCGCCCTCGGCGCTCCGCTGCGGCACGGGGAAAGAGGCGATGCCCGGCGCCGGCTCCGCGCACCAGATCCGCCAGGAGCTGCACCGGCAGGACGGGGGGCAGCCCAGCGCGCCCCGCCAGCACCCCAGCACCAGCCAGCACAAGCCCCACAGCCCCGCCAGGCCGGGCCCCGGCCTCCGCCGCCAGGA